ACAATATATTCAGCCATCAAATCCACTCTGGTCATTGGTAAACAATGAAGTAAACTCCTCATACGCCTTTTCAACAAACCAATACATCTCTCTATTGTTACTCTTGCAGCTGAATGATGGTAGTTGTAATTCTTTTGCCTTTCTGTTAAGTGTCCATTATCTCGGAATGGAGTCAATAAATGCTCATGTATTTCATAGGCTGCATCACCCAGAATATGACTGTTACTAGGAAATTTTTCATTGTCATTCAAATAGTCATTAACTTCAGACAATCGAAAAACTCGTTGGTCATGTACAGATCCAGAGTGTCCAACATAATAATGTGTTATTGAAGCCTTATGGTCACACACTAGCTGTAAAAAATAAATGAATTACATACACAAATTTTCATTTTCAGGAAATCACCTGTCATTATAAGTAGGTAGGTACATAAAAGTTGTCAAATACCTGTAACTGAATGGAATGAAAACCTTTACGATTGACATAATCTGCTGCATTGTCTTTTGGAGCATCAATATGGATGTGGGTGCCATCAATAGCTCCAATAACTTTTGGAAATCGACTACCTATTTCAAATCCTTGCATCACATCAATAGCATGATCTCCACTAGGCCACTGAATAAATATAGGAGCTCTTATAAATAATGCATGAGTAACTCGTCGTACAGCTCTCATAGCAGTAGCTTTTCCAATATTGAATCTGTCACAAACTGATCTAAAAAAGTGATCAGGTAAAAATTCTATTCAACATAAAAAACTAATAGATGCATTATTTATTCTAACCATTACCTGTATGAATCCACCGTAGCCATTTTCCAGAGTGCTACCATTATTTGTTGGTGAGAAGGAATTGTAGAGCAACCTGGTACTTTTCTAGTCAAATCCTCACATATCAATTCATGCAAATAATTGAATATGTCTCTTGAGATTCTATAAAGTGAGATCAATCTGCATATTCAGCATTCGAACATTGAAGTGGTCAATCCAAATGACATAAAAGATTCTACATACCTTAAATGACTTTTGAATTCAGCATCTGAATAAAGTTTGATAAGCTCCATGTAGTTGTTAATACGTGGACGCTTCTTTCGTTTACCTCTTTTTTCTTGCAATATTGCTTCCCACTCTTCCTCTGAACTTGATGAACTAGAGGATTCACAAGTTTTCATTCGTCGTTTTAGTGCAATGATTGCGTTATTATCATTTGGATTGAACATTTTTCTACTTCTATCAAATTCTTTGTTGACAACAAAAAACATAAAGGTTAATTGTCACATGTCATCACTCATCACGCTCCAACAAGATTTTGAGAAAGCCCATTCCACTTGGTAGGATAACCACAACGCTCACGAGCTATCATAGGTTAGTGGAACAAGAGTTACCGCGGTCGTGAGCGTGAGCGTTGTGTGTGTCTAGTGGAACGCACCCTCAGTGACAAAGTGTCTCTGTCCAAGCTGTCAAATTCTCAGCGTTATCAACTAGGTATGTTCCACTGACGATTGGCGTGCACCTACACTTATAAAGGTTCAGAGTATATCTCCACAGTCACACCAATGACGGCTAAATGGACTGTCTGACGAGTACTACATGACTGTCCAATCACTCAGTTCAGTGTATTCTCCACCAGAGGAGTTTACTTGCCGTCCTTTGCGGAGAAGTCATTTGTTTAGCTCTTTATTCGGTTGTTTTCCAATAACATAGGTTATATTGAATTATTATTATTATCAAGTGTCAAAACTGTGTCACTGTCAGGTCTCTGATGTGTTCTGTTGAATATCGATAAATTCCTTCACTTTTTCGGATTTTCATTCAGTCAAGCATTCTTCTTTGTGTTCAGTTCTGGTAGTTTATTTATTCAGGTTTGCTTGTTGTGTCTTCATCATGTATTAACAGCCTTCTAGCGTATGAAATGAAATGTATGAATAATCGTATCAAATATCGCGTTTGCTTTTTCGAATCTCATACCCAGTGATAAACCCCACAGCAAGAATGGTCGAATTTTATTTTGGAAGGCATTGGTAAGAATATAATTTTTCATGTAGAATTTTCTGATAATTTTCAATTTCAGCCTCGATTCCACCATTAGAACAATGGTGTTAATTCTGGTGTTGAAGTTTGTGTCAATGATTTTGAAAGACACTATAGAGTGATGATCAATAGCACTTCATATGGCGACTTATCAGGATGGGGACATACATTCAGAAAGAATCGCTTACCATAATTTTCAAGGTATGTTTAGTCTGCATTGTTGCTGTGTAGCTGGGTAGGGTAGAAGTAGTATTGTTGAAGACTGTTTCATGTGAGCCTCATGGTTCAAGCCATCAATGCAACGTATTCAAAATTAAATTACCATATACCTACAGGACAGGATGGGCATCCCAAAAAGCAACACCAATAATGAAAGAGGAATGGAATTTGAGGTATGCTCTTTGAATCTCAGAGAATCATCAGTCTAGGCCAACATCTGGAGTTTTTTCAAGTGCCACAACTACAATTTGAGGTATTTTGTGTTCCTGCTTCCTGGCAAATATCACAGAATGATGATACTATCAGAGATTTTCAAAAATGTTTTTCACTGATGTGATGATTCTGTCACAAAAAATTTGAATTGATTATTTGGCCTAAGTTTATGTATTATGTCTGCCCATCTATCAATGAGATCCTGTATAGCTTTCTTGTTTCCTTGATAGAAGTATGAGATGGTATGTGAAATAAGGTAAAATATTGTCACTGATACTAGTCCACTAACTATAGCTTCCCCAAGTAGATCTAAAAAGATGAAAAGAGTGCAAACTCAACTTTTGAAATGCATATAACAATTTCTGTCTCCACAAAGTTTTGAAAATGGTTGAAAAATATGGATTGCTAGATAGATATATGATTTGTTTAGAAAGCATTTATTCAAGTAATATAATAATTTCATTCCATAGACAGTCACCATAATGAACAATTTCCTTTTCCATTAAATTAGCTGATGATGAGCTTATATTTGAACTCAAAACATGCTTCTTCTCTGCTGATTTCTGAACAGATGATAGAAATTGTGGGATACACAATAATATATCATCTTCCTCTTTCATTTCCAGTGTCCAAAGGATCTCCAGGTAACCTAGCTTCATCCTCCAAAGTCAAGATCCCATATCCATGCCATTTTATATTCATTGTGTTGCCATCCCCAGAACCTATAAAGAAATGTTGCTATAGAACGTTTGATGATTTTGAAGCTGGCATAGTTCTATCAATTCTGCTATACAATTTATCTGTATATCTGATATGAAATATATAATTATGAAATGATAAATTGATATTTAATTTGCTATTCATGGAGATACCTGATGTTGTAGTTAAAATGCCTGATTATTTTTCTGAACCCTCACCTAATTAAACAACTATTCACAAAGCTCACCTTATATAGTAAATATTCTGGTTATGCATAGAAAGCATCATCAGAATTGAATGTCTCCAGTCATCATTCAATCAAACCTCATGAAGAGCTGCTTCAACATTGTGTTGAGAAAATCCAGTATCTTCCTGAAAATACAAATTGAGAAATATCACTTGAGATCACATATTTTGTGAAACAATATGAAATGTTGCAGTACATTTCACTTTGAGAATACAGCAGTATCTGGTTATTAGGGCTACCATGGCTGTTATTAGGCAGTTAAAAATTCAATCAATGAAATAATTGAACATGTCCTTACATATTCACGAATTGACGAAAATGATTTCCACTTGAATGGCATTATTATTTATGCATATAATAGCGTTATTTTGCATGAACACTCCTAACCACTTCATTTTGTTGGCCTTTTCACTGTTTTACTTGGTATCTCGAACAAAGCTCTCCAATCTCGAGTGGCAGGCTGACAGTAAGAAAATTTGTCAACAAATAATGCAGGATCATAAATGCAGGTTATGTTGAATAGCTCATTTGACACAGGAAATAGATGACGCCACTTGCCGTCCCTTCAGAATCTCATTACAGGGCGATTTGGCGATTTTCGCTGACTGAACAGTCATGTATAACCCGTCAGACAGTCCATTTAGCCCAAGGATGTTTGACTGTATCAGTATAGGATGGCTCAATCCCTATACTGCAATGTATTCCGTCGGGTGACGTCACCGCGTTGCCTTCTGCATGTTTATGTGTTTATGATATCGAGTGATCTGCGAGATCTGTGGTATCTGTGAGGGTGCGCACGCGCTTCAATAATGGCGCTTCAGTTTATTTGAATTCTAGAAATTCAAATTTTGAGATAATTAAACTGAAATAATAAAAATCTAGGCATATTTGCATAATACAGATACTGAATCATTACGGACAACAGCTCGAATAATTAGGATCGATCATCCATACAGGTAAGTCGATCAATCCTTTGATTATAATACAATAGAAGCTAGATACTCAGTTGGCCAGAAACTGACAGGAGGCACGATTTCGAAATTCTTTGCTAAGACAAATGTTACTGACGATAATTTATACCTCCAGTTAGTTGTGCATTCTCCTATTATCAAGTATGTCTGAGATTGAAAAAGAGGTGGTAGAGGTACTTCATAAACCGGCGAGAAGACGATTTCATAGAAGACGAGTAATACTCAAAGTATTGAATAATTTGTTGGAACAGTGGCGCAGCCAGAATTTTGTATTAGGGGGGGTTTTGAAAAAATCAGGGAGAGTATTACAAAAAAACGAGAATATATTATAGAACACAAAACGTAACGTACATATGAGGTACATTTGAAACAATATAATTAAGAGAAACTCAGATAGTGAATAGGCATAGTCAAACAGCGTACAGATATGATACTTTAAAAATATATAAATGACAATAACAACATAGATCATCAGAAAACATAGTAACATTATGAATGCAATCTGAATGTACTTATCAATTATATTGAAATTTGAAGACGGCGAGATTTGAGAGCCAAGACATCAAGAACTTCGTCTTCCGTAATAGGAATATCTGAATGAATATACATCAAGGCTAGGCCGTTTAATCTGTCGTCTCCAGAAGCTGTTGTGTAGAATTGAAAATTTTGCTGATGTCTAAACTATTATCATGACATAAAAGTCTTTGAAAAGGTTCGAGAGTATTTCTATGATTTATAAATTCTTCATTTATTGCCTGTATTGTTTGGTCGAGAAATGGAACATAAATAGCCCTTCGATAATATTCTTCCGGCGATGATCCAGGAACATTATTTCTGTTGGTCTGCCGATTAGTGGTTCTGGGTTGTAGAATTGTGATATCAAACTCATCACAGATCGTTTTGGTCTCTTGATAAATATCTGAAAATGACTTCTTGTCTTCTTGTCTCATTTTTTTCAGCGATTTATTGACATTTTCAGCTGAATCAAGAGCTAAACTCAGGTCCAAATTTGGTGTCTGTAAGTACTTGCTCAGTGGTAATGTTAACGAAAACACAGATTTTATCATAAAAGTACATAATAGAAAGCTACTTTGACAAATTGCCGATGAAAGTAATTGAGCGTCAGACGCCGTTTTTTTATCGGTCCATGTGGCAATCTCAAATAAGGCACTTATTATTGACTTCAGAAGAGAAACGAATGCATTCACGGCGTCGTGTCTCTGAATCCATCTGGTAGGACATAATCTTTTGAGTTTTTCTATTTTAGGTTTTTCTACTAATTTATTGATCTCATGTTCACATGTGACACGTTGTCGTTTTGGGAAATTGAAGAAATTATAAGTTGTTCCGATAGTACCCAGACAGTTTCGGACTTCTGCAACTGAACATCCATCAGAAAGTGCTAAATTGAAACAGTGTGACGAACAATGAACGTACAATGCTTTAGGATAGCTCTCCCGAACAATTGCTTGTGCTCCTCTTAGAGCACCGCTCATTGCACTAGCTCCATCGTATCCTTGGCCAACCAGATATTTTACATCTAGCCCTACTTCAATCATAGCATTGCATATACTATTTGTTAAACCAGCGCTTGTAACATCAGAAACAGGAATAAACTGTAAAACGTCTTCCCTGATCATGCTTTTCTCCTAAAATCTTACACATAATGACATTTGAGTAGTACCACTTATGTCGGTAGTTTCGTCGCATAAAACTGAGAAGTTTTTTGCAGCATTTACTTTATCAACGAGTTTTTTCAATAAAATCGAATTGAAGGCCGATATTATTTCATTCTGTATTTGCCAGCTAATGTAAGTTGCATTAGCACCTGCTGTGCTTGGGTGTTTTGCCAAAATATGATCTCCTGCCTCTATTCGAAATTTGAGTAAAGAAGGAAAATTACCCTCACCTTTGACTGGAGGTTCATTTATATCAAAAGGTCCAGAGTCACGGTGACCTCGAAATGAGTTTCCTAATCTAGCAAGATATATGGCAGTTCTGATTATGGGTTTAAGGCACTTCCGATTATTGATAATTTGATCGTTTTGATGTTTGTTAATTTGTAAAATAACATTTTCAGATTTTCTCATCATGATATTCAAAGAGTTAGCTGCTCTTTCGATACAATTCTTATTATTTTTCATGATTTCTGAATTGTTCTCTGGCATCCAGTTTTTAAATGGAGTTTTAACTAGTTTTCCGCCCTTAGTAGCTTGTTGCCCGACAACAGTGGAAAATAGCGAACAATACTTGCAGAACACAGAATCTAGAGATGGACTATGAACTAGCCACCTCCACTCATCGAGCCATTTTATCTGGAATTTCAAGTTCCTAGGTCCTGACGATGGAAATTTATATGATAGATCCGGTGACCAAGGTTTTTCTAAAAGTTTCTGCTTTGTAACATCATCGATTATTTTTCCTAAATACGTCCCAAAATCAAGTACCCAATTGTCTTCTTTGTGTAACTGTCGCTCACCAATATTTCCAGATGTTGAAGGCTCTGACGTAACCTGAAAGAGAAAAACATCTCAGACTTAAACGTTTTCATTGAATTTTTCATCCAACCTGTATGATTCGAAAATATGTATTGAAAATTATCACGAAAGATCGTAAGGTTTTCTAATCCGGAAAAAATTAACTATCTGAATTCGAAAACATTAGTATATCAAAATCCAAAATCGACAAATTAGTTTCGAAAATATCAAGCGTCCGGGAATATTGTACGTCTATGAAATGAGTGTTTGAAATTGAAACGCGACAACGCAACGATACGATGCATGTTGCTAGAGCGTCATATTTACAGAATAGGTACTTACATTTATATTGTAGCTCTGAGCAGAATCCAGTTTCGGTTTTTTAATTATAAATGCATCCATTGTATGTACCTATAGTCACACACACACAAATCCTCAAAATTTATTAAAAATCAGTATACCAGTATACCACAAAAAAACACCGCTTCTTGCGCAATCAGCTACTGAAACCGATTGTGATTTGTGATCCACTGACCTGTAACCGTTTAGTGGTAAAGACGTGAGGGTGTAAGGCGCTTCGAACATAATCACTACACAGTTGCCGAGATTATTTTTTTTTACTAGATTGAATAATTATTGATCAACCTTTTCTAGTTTGCGTCTGGGTCTGGGGGGAGGTTTAACCCCTACCCCCCCCCTCCTCCGCTGCGCCACTGTGTTGAAAGCTGATTTGGTTGAAATGATTCCATATGCTCAATTCAACAAAGGATACAAATATATTTTGGTTGTCATCAACTCATTTTCCAAATACGTTTGGTGTCAAAGGTGTTGCACATGCATGTTGCAATCAATATCAACCCCAAAAAATTCACATACTGACCGAGGGCGAGAATTCTATAATAAAGAATTCAATGAGCTTATGCAAAAATTCAAGATTAACCATTATAGCACCTTTTCTAGTGTGAAAGCCAGCATTGTAGAACGTGTGAATAGAACATTGAAAAACATGATGTAGAAACAATTTAGCCTTCAAGGTAATTATAAATGGACACACATACTCGCAGTCATCGTTTCCATGTACAATAACAAAAAACATAGAATAATCAGGTTGAAACCAGTGCAGGTAAATGAGAGAAACGAACAGTTAGTTTTGAATACGGTTTATAGTAATTTGAAATCAATTAATCAACCAAAGTATAGAGAAAATGATCATGTTCGAATAAGTAAATATCGAGAAGCGTTTTCTGAAGGTTATACACCAAATTGGTCAAATGAGGTATTCAAAATTATAAAAATCCGTGCAACCAACCCGTTAACTTATTACTTGCAAGACATGTCGAAGAATTCAATTCAAGGTGCATTTTATGAACAAGGAATACAGAAAGTGGAGTATCCTGATGTTTATTTGATTGAAAAAGTATTGAGAAAGAAAGGAAATAGAATGTATGTTGAATGGCTGGGATTTGATAAATCGCATAATTCATGGATCATGAAAAACAACGTTGTGTAACTCGTTCTTTGTTACCTTTCACTGCACAATTTAAATGTCCTATGTTCTCGCAGATTCTCCATAGTCTTACCATCAACGGCATTTATCATTGTTTTGAAAGTAACCTTACCAAACTTCTGAGTTTCTACGCAAATCTGTATTCAGATCAATGTATGGTTTCAACAGCCACTTTTATCGCCTGAACCTTAAGATTCTTTGAATTCTATCGACTACTAGTTGGCCAAATATTGCTTCAAACTTTCAAAGTGTGAAATATATTCTTCTTTATCATATAATGTAGTCATCAGCTTTGGTAATTTAGAATTAGGAGGTGTTGCGTTCATGCAATTGAGGATTGCACTCACAAAATATATCTTCATTGAAACTTGCGTTGATTACAACATCTAACAATGACATGTGTCAGTCAAAAACAAACCTGACTGACTATATACTGGGTGAGAGTATATACAACATTTCTCCGTTCCGGTTTTTTTATATGTATATACTCTCACTCAGTATATAGTCAGTCAGGTTTGTTTTTGACTGACACATGTCATTGTTAGATGTTGTAATCAACGCAAGTTCCAATAAAGATATATTTTGTGAGTGCAATCCTTAATTGGCATGGTGATCGACCGTTGGGGGCGCTGTTTCAAAACAAGATGGCGGCAAAGAGTGTGTAGTTTGTTTACAAAATTACTTGAGATTTGCATACATTTTCTTCTTGATATTTCATCGTGTTATTTGTGTTTATTGTTGAACTTTTTACTGAAATCATAATATTTTTTGTTGGATCATACTGTTTCATCATGATGTGAGGAAAATAACTGTTACCTACTGACTGAATCGTGGACCAAATAGTCTGAGCTTCCTTCAAACCAGTGCATTTCTGTGGGACAGCTATATGGAATATAAAATATCACAAGCATATCCACTATCATCAGAAGATGAATATATTCACCTTCATACCTCTATAACTCCACTCCTCAAGCAAAATGATCCTACAGACCAGGAATGGTGATACCAGGAGTGAAGTTTTTCAACAGTGAACAGCCCCTTCTGTGAACATATTGAAACCCATCCCTAAACAATGTGTTAACCTAACCTATTCGACTATTTTGTGCTAAATATTACAGCCATCAGAATCATGTGCAATTGAACCATACAATAGAAATCAGCAGCAACCAGCTCTAATGAGAACCAAGAAATAATTCAACACCAATGGCATCCTGACATTACTGTGGATTTAATAGTAGCTACAACTATCAATGGCATATCTTCAACAATATCACTTCCAGGCTTTGAGGATTGTTTACAGTGCAACTCCCATACCTCATATATTATATGGTGCTCCACTGCAATAACAGCAAATTGTCATGATTCTATGTGCCATGTGTGTGAATTGTATCCATACAACACACTCTTCATAATGTGAATATTCCTAATATACTCAGAGTTGAGGTATGTGGCATCCTAGACTGAGTTTTCTTCTTGGAATTCATTCAATATCTTTTAAAGATAGTTTTTTTCACCATATTGATGAAATCATTGAATAATTCGGAATTCCACCACATAAAATAATGATCGAATGACCTAGGATTTCAGTTAATGTACTTACACAGTATATTATCATAAATTTTGTGATTTGATATCCTTTTGTAATCCTAAATTCATTTAATTGAAAATATCTATCTTATCAATCTGTATAGTTCATTATGTTTTGTATATTTTGAAACTGAATTAATAATAATTTTTGAAAATGAAAGTACATCGACATAACATGTGTTTTACTGTACTTATGCCACTCCAAAGAAGTCAATAAAGAAGTACCTATAAATAGAAGGATCTTCCAGTATACTCCTTCCCTCAGTGCTCATGTATACTGTTTTTCCCTGAATTATTTTACAAGATACCTTCATGAAAATTTACAATTATAAATGAATTTGAAATCCAGGACTTTCATATTTGTAGAAATAAATTAACAATGAGCATAAGTAAGTATCTACCTGGTAGGTACCTATTCTAAAAGGAATCAGTATAGATTATAAAGTCCTTGTAGCCCTTTGAAATTGCATCAAGAAAGAATGATGTGTTGATTGAGGTAGTTGTGGAATTGAAATATGAATTTTGAAAACCTACAATAAAACAATACAAAACAGAAAAAAAAAGTAGAACTTTTACTTAGGAATAAATACAGTTTAATAACATACAAGCAGTAAAATTATGGATACATTTTTCCAAGATACAATTTGAAATGTCATGGATATATGTTCAAGTACCCAAATAATCAGTGATATCTCCTTAAAAACTTGAATTCAACTTCAAAGAATCTGGGTTTCGGTTTCAATTTGTGTAACTATTTGCACTCAATTGCAAGATACCCTGCATGGCAACTCCTCCCCTGCTGAAAAATTTAAGAAATGTTAGTACCTACTATAAACAAACCATATCTATTAGCTATTACACAATCTAAATATTCAAATAGAAATAGATTGTGTCACTTCAATATATGTTCAAAGATCGAATTCAAGCTATGAAGTAAGCTACCTACAATGACCTGCTTGTACCAGGGTTATTATATATATATATAATATGCTACTGTTTTTGCTCATATGAATGTAATTGGGAGCTGTATTTCAACTTAATCATTTTGGAAGTACATGCAATCTACATTGGCTATTTTACTACAAAGATGATACTACAAAATAGGAATCTATGGAGGCCTAGGCAGGATGTCATGAACAAGATTTTTATGAGTAAAGCATTACAAATAAAACTATAAATTACCCACCTGCACATGTTCATGTCTTTTTTCTTGCCCAGCTTTGTGTATTGCAGTTCAAAAGTCAAAGGCATTGAATTTGCTTCTTTATTTTTCTTATAAAAATATTTGAAAGAAAAACAGCCATACTTATTTTTCCAAGTCCTGGAGACATTTCCCCATAAACAAAATAGGTATGAATTGCTCAATGAACTGTTGATCATTTCAATCATGTTCTCTCTCAGATAGGCACTGCAAATAAGAGTTATTCATCAGTAATAAATATATCAATGAATCACAAATTCACCTTATTGTTATCATTATTGGACCAATGAAGTGAAGAAAGGTAGGAAGTTTTTGTTGGAACTGCATACATTTACTTTTCAAACTCATATTGGATTCTCAACGTTTATCCATTTTTCCATTCAATTGAACTGATTTTTCATTATCAGAAAAGACTTCTTGAGTGCAGGAAATTCATATTAGAGGACATTATAGCTCCTACATTTTTCCATTGGAACCTTCTACTAGTTCAACCAGCAACCAGTTGATTTTGCGTATTATCAGAGATTTGTCGATACTAATTTATAAAATAATATAGAATTGATTAGGCAATTGATATTAAGTTCATGTCTTGTACTCAAGAGAAGCAAGAAGAGAAAATTAACGTAATTTGTTGAATGGTATTCATAAAATATGAATATGAAACCCACTGAGAACACAATAACAAACATGACCTTGAATTACGTCCTAAACTGGTTCAAATTTGCCCACCAGGTGCCGTAT